CCTGAAACAGAGAAGGAAGCACGGGCGTAACAAGGAAGGTACGCTCCTTTAGAGCAGGCATCCTGGTTTCGATAACTGCTGCGCCAAGTACGCTGCTTGAGCACAGGAAAGGCCTGTACAGTTTGGAAATAGACATGTCGCACAAAAGCGTAGCTGCAAGACGATGCATGTTTTCGTCCCTTCCCCTACTCTCAGTCAAGAGGAATGCAAGCCAGATGCGTATGTGCAAGACCATGCATGTTTGCGAAGTTTTGCTCTACTCCTAATCGCAAGGAAACCAAGGAAGAGGCGTATCTGCGAGACGATGCAGGTTCTGCAGGAAGCATTACGAAGTTGATGCCTGCTGTGCTGTGGTGCAGTACTGAAGGTTAACAAGGCATCACAAGGCACGCGATACAACGGTTCGCGAGACTGCAGGGACTGCCGGGGTCTGCAAGTGAAGGAACTACAGGATGGCCACTCGGCTTCTTAGCCTTGCGACCGCTTGCGCTTCGGGCCCCAGCGTTTGCGGCGCCACGATGGCAGCATGTCCGCGGCGCTTTTGCGTCCGTGGTTTCCCAGCACATTCCGCTGAGCCATGTTTGCAAGACTTGGAGTCTCTTGCAGCTGTTGGCTTGGCAAAGGGAGCGCGTTATCTGCGGCTTCCACTCGACCTCCACGCCATCACTGTGCCTTCGGTAGGTCACGGTCTTCGGCATCATGGCTTGCATAGTCTGCGCCCAGTTTCGTGCTTCTTCCTCAAGCCAACCGGGACTCTTAGTGAGCTCGCGGCCTGCCCGGCGTAGCGCCAGCCACGCTCGGGCGTTTGCTGCCAATGGAAGTTGGGCATCCGGAAGTTTCTGCTGCGACCAGGACAATCGCTGCAAGCCCTTATCCATGGCGGCAATGTAACTAGAAACGTGCGCCAATGCCAACTCCCCAAAATGTGGATCTGCATCAGCAGTTCACATGCATCGCGGATGCTGCGGCACTGGACGAGGGCGGTCACTGGGTGTTCCTGTGGCTGGCGCCACTAGGGCAGCAGGATGGAATCGATGAGATTTCCCAGGCTGGTGGCCGCTGCATGCACGGTTCCAGCGTCCCCCAATTGTGGACCATGCTGCAAAGCGAGGTCGTATAGCTTCGGCAAAATGCTAAGGTCCGTGAGGTCGGCGTCCGGGTGTGCCACGAAGAATTGCAGCAATATTTTGGACCGCGTGCTCAAAATGAAGACAACGGCCAGGAACATTGCCGCGACCGAGAGCCCTGCATGGGGGTTTAGGGCGTCTTCCCTGTTACGGGCTGCAGGCCTTTCTCTGTAACTGGCTGGACGGCTTTCTGTGTTACTTGTGTGTGTTTCGACTCCTGTTTCTCTGTTTGGTGGTTTACTCAAGACTCAGCTCTCTGCAACTCAGCGCAATCCTGGAGATCCAGCTCAAGCTGCTGCCGCTGGGCTGCTTCCTCTACAACCGAGCTGGTTCACCGGAGGTTCACCGAGCAGCCTCACTCCAGTCAGCCTCCTCTGGCGACAAGCTGGCGCTGCTCTCGCTGCCTCGATGCAGAATGTGGACGATTGAACTTTCAGATACGTCATTAAATAGTACTAGACTATAAGGCATCGCCGTCACAAACTTCGCGCTTCCGTGCCACCGAAAGCAACACCATTGCACCATGATCGGACCTATCAGCGGCTTTGACCACAACCTGAGACTCGGGAGCCCTCGCATCATGGTGGTTGTAACCATCGTCCTTACCATTCAACACCACATTTCCGCCAGCAGCACCGACATCAGACTTGGCATCAGCATCATCATTACCATCATCATCACCACCGCAGTCACCACCACAATCACCGTCGCCATCGCTCATGATTGCTGTCGTTCGCATTGACATCCTCATCGAGGTCCTCATTGCCATCCTCCTCAACGTGCTCCCTCCGCCTTTCCTCCGCCTGCACATCATCGCCACAAATATGATCACAAACACCTTCACTCTCACCCTCCCCATTGCGACCATCACCATTGAAATATCCAAGCAGAAGTCAATGACGACCAGCACAAAGCCCAACTGCAGTAACTGACCAATGCCCACAGCCCACCATGAGAGCTCTGAGTTCTGGAACCTTGGCTGTCGTACTCCTCATCATCCTCCTGCTCCTCCTCCTCGTCCTGTTGGCTTTCCGCGGCAGCTGCCATCACCGTCGCTGCCTGGAAAGGTTGGGACCAGACGACCATCTCCGCAGCGTCTGAAACCCAGGCTCCGACCTTCTCACCGAATGCAACGTGGGCGGCATCCTGCACCACGAGAGAACATTCAAAAGCATCCAAGGACCCTTGGCTCTTGGACTCTTGGAGGCCTTTGCCCGGGAAGGGCTGCTCTGCCTGCGTGCACTGCCAGTCTCAGACGTAACGCACAGGCAACAGTCGACATCCAGCCTTGAGCTAGAGGAGACCTCAAAACCCAAGCAAGTCCAAGTGAGTTCGCTCCTCAAAGCACCTCCTGAGCTTTCCCAAAAGTGCCAAACTTGCTGCCGCCAAGCGTCCGGACCCTGCAAGCCGGTCCTCTCACAAAGATGTTCGGATCTAGCCCGACACGAAAAAAAAGTTGACTGGCCCTGGCCGCCCAGGCCTCCCATCCAAGAATGCCGTGGCCTAAGTCAAGTGTAGTGTAGTGATCACCCGATGATTTCCCAATGCCATACCGTAGGCTTCTGGCCGCTTCTGTGGCGGCCCGGGCTCTGGCATGCAGACTGCTGCTTTCCAGGGCCTCTGCAGAATCCTCCGCTTCGGAGATGCTCGTGCTATCTCTACCCTGTCTTAGACAGGTCGGTCTCGATCCGAGGCCTCTGCCCCGGCTGTGCGCATGCCCGGACTCCTCCGCCTGCATGCGGGTGAAGCGAAGCCCCAAGGGACCGGCAAGATCCCCATCCGCCTGGAGGGCGAAGAAACCTCAGCAGACCAAGCACTTCGCTGCCTCCGTAGAGACTCTCCGTAGATTCTACGGTGACTCCACAGACGACACTTCCGGGCGCTGACGGCCCAGGCGGCTTCGGTGCCTGCTCGCGCACGGGCCCCCGGCGGGCTTGAGCTCCTGCCACTTTGCAGGAAGGGGAGCTTCCAAGGCAGACTTAAGGCGACACGGGGCACCCGCGTAGAGCTACAAGTATGTATGCATCCAGGACTCTGAAACACCTCCTCCATCTTAACTCTACATCCTTGGGCCCGACCATTGTTCGGGAATTGGGCGTATCCCGCCTTCGCAACTGTCAACCCACCCAAGCAATCTATCCGAAAACTTGATCGGCGCCAACCGCTGCCAGCCTCTGTGTCACTGCAGGAAGCTCCTCGTGCAGCGTCAAGGCATCAAGTTGCATCAAGGCAATGTCCACTAGTTGTTCTACGATGCTTGGGCAGGCCAGGACCTAGGTATAATCACATGCCAGTCGATGCTTCCAGCAATCCCTCAGCAGCTCCACACTCAAGAGTTCGAAATATGTCGCTCATGCATTGCAGTCAGTCAGAAATGGCACACACAGCCAGCACTTCTCACTGGAAATGCACTCTAAAACCATGCTGCACACGCACGCCGCCTCGGTCAGAAACGCAGCGGCGTCCGTTCCAGGCCAAGAGAAGCTGGGGGCCTTTGCCCTGCGCGTTAAGCAGTCTAGCCCGCGTCCAAAGGTTGCGTCGCTGGGCTGGCCTGAAACCAGCACATCCGGTGCTTGCACTGTTCAATGCCACCTGCAGGTCCACTTGCAATGAACTCGCGCTGTGGAACTGGATACTGGATACTTCGGCATCTGCCTCCTCGTAGAGGGGTCGCGATCCCAGCTGCGATGGGCTGCTATGCCTTCCACCGTGCCACATGCAATCCTTGTGCTGCGAAAGCTGCGCCGGAACGGACCTGCCTTGGACCGCTTCGCAGGCTGCCCTCCTCACAACTTCGGCCAGAGGCATCAGAGGCCAAAGATGACCAAAGATGGTCAAATTGCTGCTGAGCACTGGTGCAGCCTAGCAACCGGAGACACTGCGACTGCGGGTGTCAGGCTCGCCGAAGTGGCTGCTCTTGCCATCCTACGAAGGCCGCTGCTGAAAGGTAGGACTGGGGTACAATTTCAATGGAAATGAGATTTCCCATAAGATGCGGGGTCTTCCAGAAGTCCTGCTTGGACTGCTGGAGTGTGCTGCACTCCGGGGTTCCTGTCAACAGGACTCGATAAGACCCCGAATATCGCCGGGCACTGTTGTGTGGGCCTGGGCCCAGGATGGCGAGCTGCTCTGAGTCCTTAAGCGACGACAGCTGCGACGGCTACGCGCACTTCTCCTCCATTCCCTTGCCTTGACCGCGTGAGCAAATCCCCATCAGGCAGGTGGAGCACGTTTGTAAGGACCTCGCGCACCGCCAAATTGTTGGGCCATGGATTCTCATAAAGTGTCTCTTCCCGTCCGCGCATTGCGGATGGCCGGATAGTTTGGATTAATTCCCTCAACTTCATACAAGAATTTGCAGCCCAGCACAAGCACGTGGAATGCTGCATTCGCAGCTCTGAGGCATCTGACCGTCGGCGGTGACGAGGCCTCGTTGTTCCTGAAAACTCCACTTGCCTGCAAGGAACATCAAGGATCATCAAGGAGTGCTTGCACATTGTAGCGCATGATCTCTTCTTACATCGGAAGCGCAGTGGCTCAAAAACTCTCTTGAGCCCTGACTCGGACCATACCTCACTGGTGCACAGAAACACGACCTGCATGATATTTGGCTCAGGATGCACGAGGTGACGTCAATCCGTCGCCTGCTTTTGCAACACGACGACACACCTCAATCCTCTGAAACTAGCAAATCGACAATAGCAAACTTATCAAGCCACAGTCAACCATCTAGATCCAAAACGGAACCCTGGAAGAGCGGTTTGCTCCTTGTTTTCAATCATCTTTTTCGAAATTCTCTAGTCTCTCTCGAGCGGTTTGCGCCTTGTTCTCAAATTCTCTAGTTCTTTTCGAGCGTCTTGCCCCTTGTTCTGACATTCTCTAGTTCCTTTCGAGCAAACAATTCTCTAGTCTCTTTTGAGCGGTTTGCTCCTTCTTCTGAAACTCTATTGTTCTTTTCGAAAAGATTGCTCCTCGCCTCCACTCTTCTAATCTTTTGCGAAATTCTTTACTCTCTTTCGAACGATTTGCTCCGTGTTCTGAATTTCTTTACTTCTTTTCGAGCGGTTTGCTCCTTGCTTTCAAACTCTCTAGCCTATTTCGAAACTCTCTAATTTTTTTTCGAGGGGTTTGCTCCTTTTCTGAAACTCTGTACTTCCTTTCGAGCGGTTTGCTTGTTTTCAAACTGTCAAGTCTCTTTCGAAATTCTCTGGTCTCTTTCGAGCGGGCTTCTCTCGTTCTTTTTAAGCGGTTTGCGCTTTGCTTTCAATTTCTCAAGTCTCTTTCGGGCGTTTTGCTCCTGGTTCTGAAACTCTCGAGTTCCTTTCGAGCGGCTTGCTCCTTGCTTTGACAGTCTCTAGTCTTTTCGAAATTCTCTAGTTGTTCGAGCGGTTTGCTACTTTTTCCGACATTCTTTAGTTGCTTCCGAGCGGTTTGCTCCTTGCGTTTTGAGATTCTCTCGTCTCTTTCGAAATTCTGTAGTCTTTTTCGAGCGGTTTGCTTTTTGTATTGGAATTCTCTAGTTCCTTGCGAGCGGTTTGCTCCTTGTTTCCATTTTCCTTAATCTCTTTCGAAATTCTCTAATCGCTCCTGCTCCTTCTTCTGAAATTCTCTAGTTCCACTCGAGCGGCTTGCTCCGTTTTGTCAATTTCTCAAAACTTTCGGAATTCTCTGATCACTAGTCCCTTTCGGGCGGTTTGCTCCTTCTTCTGAAATTCTCTAGTTCCTTTCGAGCGGCTTGTTAAACCCTAAACCCTGAACCCTAAACCCTAAACCGTTTTCTAGTTTATCTCGAAGTTCTCTCGCGTCTTTCGAGCAGCTTGCTGCTTGTTCTGAAATTTTGCAATTCCTTTCGAGCGGTTTGCTCCTCGCTCTGAAACTCGCTAGTTCCTTCCGAGCGGTAACGGCTTGCTGAGTTCAAACTCTCTATTTTCTTACGAAATCTCTAGTCTCTTTGGAGCGGTTTGGTCCTTCTTTGGCAATCCTCTACTTCCTCTAGCAGTTTGCTCCTTGTTTTCAATTTCTCTAGTCTCTTTCGAAAATTGTCTAATTTCTTTCGAACGGTTTGCTCCTTCTTCCGAAACTCTCTAGTTCTTGTCGAGCCGCGTGCTCCTTCTGCTAAATTCTGTAGTCTTTTTTTCGAGCGGTTTGCTCTTTGTATTGGAAATCTCTAGTTCCTTGCGAGCGGTTTGCTCCTTGTTTTCCATTTTCCTTATAATCTCTTTCGAAATTCTCTAATCACTAGTCTCTTTCGAAATTCTTGTCCCTTTCGAGCGGTTTGCTCCTGCTCCTTCTTCTGAAATTCTCTAGTTCCACTCGAGCGGCTTGCTCCGTTTTGTCAATCTCTCAAGTCTCTTTCGGAATTCTCTGATCATTAGTCCCTTTGGAGCGGTTTGTTCCTTCTTCTGAAATTCGCTAGTTCCTTTCGAGCGGTTTGTTAAACTCTAAACCCTGAACCCTAAACCCTAAACCGTTCTCTAGTTTATCTCGAAGTTCTCTCGCGTCTTTCGAGCAGCTTGCTGCTTGTTCTGAAATTTTGCAATTCCTTTCGAGCGGTTTGCTCCTCGCTCTGAAACTCGCTAGTTCCTTCCGAGCGGTAGCGGCTTGCTGATTTCAAATTCTCTACTTTCTTACGAAATCTCCAGTCTCTTTCGAGCGGTTTGGCCCTTCTTTGGCAATCCTCTAGTTCCTTTAGCAGTTTGCTCCTTGTTTTCAATTTCTCTAGTCTCTTTCGAAAATTGTCTAGTTTCTTTCGAACGGTTTGCTCCTTCTTCCGAAACTCTCTAGTTCTTGTCGAGCCGCGTGCTCCTTCTGCTGAATTTCTCTTGTTCCTTTCGAGCAGTTTGCTCCGTCTTTTGAACTCTCTAGTTCCTATCGAGCGGCTCGCTCCTTGTTTTCAATTTCTCTAGCCTCTTTCGAAAACTGTTTAGTTTCTTTCGAGCCGTCTGCTCCTTGTTTTCAAAATCTCTAGTCCCTTTCGAGCGGTTTGCTCTTTGTTTTCATGTCCTATAGTCCCTTTTGAAATGTCTAGTCCTTGTTCTCTCTTTCGAAATTCTCTAGTCCCTTTTCAGGCGTGCTGCTCCTTCTTCTGAATTTCGCCAGTTCCTTTCGAGCAGTTTGCTCCTTCGTCTGAAATTATCTAGTTCCTTTGGCGCGGTTTGCTCCTTGTTTTCAATTTCTCTAGTCTCTTTCGAGCGGCTTGCTCCTCGCTCTGAAACTCGCTTGTTCTTTTCGAGCGGTTTGCTCCTTGTTCTGAAATTCTCAAGTTCCTTTCGAGCGGTAGCGGTTTGCTGATTTCAGATTCTCTTCTCACTTTCGAAATTCTCTAGTCTCTTTCGAGCGGTTTGCTCCTTCGTCTGAAATTCTCTAGCTCCTTTGGAGCGGTTTGCTCCTTGTTGTCAAATGCTCAAGTCTCTTTCGAAAGTCTCTAGTCTCTTTCGAGCGGTTTGCTCCTAGTTCTGAAATTCTCTAGTTCCTTTCGAGAGGTTTGCTTCCTGTTCTGAAATTCTGTAGTTTTCTCAAACGGTTTTCGAAATTCGCTGGTCCCTTTCGGGCGGTATGCGCCTTCTTCTAAAAGCATTTTAATTCCTTTCAAACGGTTTGCTCCTTGTTCTGAGATTCTCTAGTTACTTTCGAGCGGTTTGCTCCTTGTTTTCAATTTCTCTAGCTTCTTTCGAAACTCTCTAGTCCCTTTCGAGCGGTTTGCTCCTTCTTCTGAAACTCTCTAGTTCCTTTCGAGCGGTTAGCTCCTTGTTCCGAATTCTCTGGTGTCTTTCGAGCGGTGTGCTCCTTCTTCTGAAACTCTCCAATTCCTTTCGAACGGTTTGCTCCTTGTTTTCATTTACCTAAGTCTGTTTCGAAATTCTTTAGTCTCTTTCGAGCCGTTTGCTCCTTGTTTTCAAACTCTCTACGTAGTCTGTCTCGAGCGGTTTGCTCCTTGTTCTGAAATTCTCTAGTTCCTTTCGAGCGGATTGCTCCTTGTTTTCAAACTCTCTAGTGTCTCTCGAAAATCTCTAGTGTCGTTCGAGCGGTTGTCTTTCGAGCTGTTTGCTGCTTGTTATGAAATTCTTTCGAGCGGTTTGCTCCTTGTTTTCAATTTCTCTAGTCTCTCTCGAGCGGTTTGCTTTTCGCGCTAGTTCCTTGCGAGTGGTTTGGCTCCTTGTTTTCAAATTCTCTAGTCTGTTTCAGAATTCTTTAGACTCTTTCGAGCGGTTTGCTCCTTCTTCTGAAATTCTCTCAGTCCTTTCGACCGTTTGCTCCGTGTTGCGAGATTATCTAGTCTCTTTCGAAAATTGTCAAAATCTCTTTCAAGCGGTTTACTCCTTCTTCTGAAACTCTCTCGTTGTTTCCGAACGGTTTGCTCCTTGTTTCCATTTACCTAAGTCTGTTTCGAAATTCTCCAGTCTCTTTCGAGCAGTTGCTCCTTCTTCTGAAATTCTCTAGTTCCTTTCCAGCGGTTTTCGACTTCTCTAGTCTCTTTCGAACTTCTCTAGTCTCTTTCGCGCGGTTTGCTCCCTCTGCTGAAATTCTCGCGCACCTTTCGAGCGGTTTGCTTCGTCTTCTGGAACTCTCTGATTCATTTCGAGCGGTTTGCTCCTGGTTTCGAGCGGTTTGCTCTTTCTTCTGAAACTCTCTAGTTCCTTTCGAACAGTTTGCTCCTTGTTTTCATGTTGTCCAGTCTCTCTCGAAGTTCTCCAGTCTCTTTCGAGCGGTTTGCTCCTTCTTCTGAAATTCTCTAGTTCCTTTCGAGCGGTTTGCTCCTTGTTTTCAAACTCTCAAGTCTCTTTCGACATTCTCTAATATCTTTCGAGCGGCTTGCTCCCTGTTCTGAAATTCTCCTGCTCCTTTCGAACGGTTTGCTCCTTGCTGTCCACTTCTCTAGTCTCTTTCGAAATTCTCTAGTCTCATTCGAGCGGTTGGCTCCCTGTTCTGAAACTCTCCTGTTCCTTTCGAGCAGTTTGCTCCTTGTTTTCCAGTTCTCTAATCAGTTTCGAAATTCTCTAGTCTCTGTTGAGCGGNNGAGCGGTTTGCTCCTTCTTCTGATTCTTCTAGTTCTTTTCCTTTCGACTCTCTAATTAGTCCCTTTCGAGCGGTTGGCTCCTTGTTTCCAATTCTTCTAGTCTCTTTCGAAGTTTTCTAGTCCCTTTCGAGCAGTTTGCTCCTTCTTCTGAAGCTCTGTAGTTCCTCTCGAGCGGTGTTCTCCTTGTTCTCGCATTCTCTAGTCTCTTTCGACATGCTCCAGTGTCTTTCGAGGGTTTGCTCTTTGTTTTCAAGTTCTCTGGTCTCTATCGAAATTCTCTAGTCGCTTTTGAGCGGTTTGCTCCTTCTTCTGAAATTCTCCATGTCCTTTCAAGCAGCTTGCTCCTTGTTCTGATTTTGTCTAGTCTCAGCCGAGCGGTTTGCTCCTACATCTGAAATTCTCTCGAGCAATTTGATCCTGGTTTCAATTTCTCTTGTCTCTTTCGAAATTTGTCCAGTTTCTTTCGAGCTGTTTGTTCTCTGGATTGAAATTGTCTAATGATTTCCAAGCGGATGCTCCTTGTGTTCAATCTCTCTAGTATCATTCGAAGTTCTCTTGTCTTTTTCGAGCGGTTTGCTCCTTCTTCTGAAATTCTTTCAATCCTTTCGACCGGTTTGCTCCTTATTGCGAGATTATCTAGTCTCTTTCGAAAATTGTCTAGTCTCTTTCGAGCGGCTTGCTCCTTCTTCTGAAATTCTTTAGATTTTTTCGAGCAGTTTGATTTTTGATTTCAAAATTCGCGAGTCTCTTTCGAGCGGTTTGCTCCTTCTCCTGAAACTCTCTAGTTCCTTTCGAACGGTGTGTTCTTTCTTCTCAAACTCAGTAGTTCCTTGCGAGCGGCTTGCTCCTTGAGTTGAATTTATCTAGTCTCTTTCGAGAATTATCTATTCTTTTTCGAGCGATTTGCTCCTTCTTCTAAAATTCTCTAGTTCCTTTCGAACGGTTTGCACCTTGTTTTCACATTCTCTATTCTCTTTCCAAATTGTCTAGTCTCTTTTGGGCGGTTCGCTTTTTCTTCTGAAATTGTCTACTTCCCTTGGAGTGGTTTGCTCCTCGTTCTCACATATTCTAGTCTCTTTCGAAATTCTCTAGTCTCTTTCGACGCATTGCGAAATTCTCTATTTCCTTCCGAGCGGTTTGCGCCTTGTTTTGAGATTCTCTGGTCACTTTTCGAAATTCTCTAGTCTCTTTCGGGCGGAGTCCTCCTTGTTCTGAAACTCTCTAGTTCCTTTTGAGCGGTTTGCTCCTCGTTTTCAATTTCTGTAGCTTCTTTCGAAATTCTTTAGTCTCTTTCGAGCAGTTTGCTCCTTCTTCTGAAATACCCCAGTTCCTTTCGAGCAGTTAGCTCCCTGTGTTCAGATTCTCTTTGTCTCTTTCCCCCGGTTTGCTCATTCTGTTGAAAATTCTCTGGGGCCTTGCGATCACTTTGCCCGTTTGTTCAAACTGCCTAGAGTCTGTCGAAATATCTAGTCTCTTTCGAGCGGTTTGCTCCTTCTTCCGAAACTCTCTAGTTCCTTTCGGGCGGATTGCTCCTTGTTTTCATTTTCCCTGTCTCTTTCGAAATTCTACAGTCTCTTTCGAGCGGTTTGCTCGTTGTAATCAAATTCTCTAATTCCTTTCGAACGGTTTGCTCCTTCTTCTGAGTTTCTCTAATCTCTTTCGAAATTATCTAGTCTCTTTCGAGCGGTTTGCTCCTTCTTCTGACATTCTCTAGTTCCTTTCAAGCGGTTTGCTCCTTGTTTTGAACTTCTCTAATCTCTTTCGAAATTCATTACTCTCTTTCGAGCGGTTTGCTTCTTGTTCTGAAATTCGCTAGTTCCTTTCGAGCGGTTTGCTCCTTGTTCTCAAAATCTCGAGTATCTTTCAGAATTCTCCAGTGTCTTTCGAGCGGTTTGCTCCTTCTTCTTCTGAAATTCTCTAGTTCCTTTCCAGCGGTTTGCTCCTGTTTACAAATTCTCGAGTCGAAGGGACTAGAGAATCTCAGAAGAAGCAACGAACCGCCCGAAAGAGACTAGAGATGTTGAAAACAAGGACAAACCGCTCGAAAGGAACAGATAAAGGAGCAAACCGCTTGGAAAAGACTAGAGACATTGAAACAGAAAACCGCGCAAAAGGGGCTAAGGTTTGAGAACCAGGAGCAAACCGTTCGAAAGAAACGAAACAGACGAGAGAGTGTCGAAAGAGACTGGAGGATTTGAAACAAGGAGCGAACCGCTCGAATGGAACTAGAAAGTTTCAACAAGGAGCAATCCGCCCGAAAGCGGCTAGAAAAATCCGAAACAGACTAGAGAACAAAGAGCATACCGCTCGAAAAAGAACTAGAAAATAACCGCCCGAAAGAGACTTCAAAATTTCGAAAGAGACTACAGAATCTCAAAACAAGGAGCAAACCTTCCGGAAGGAAATAGAGAATTTCGGAATAAGGAGCAAACCGCTCGAAAAAGAAGGAGCAAACCGCTCGAAAAAGACTAGATAAATTCGAAGGAGAGCGGTAGCGGTTTGCTCCGTGTTTTCAAATTCTCGAGCCTGGTTTGCTCCTGGTTCTGCAATTCTCTAGTTGCTTTCGAGCGGTTTGCTCCCGGTTTTCACATTATCTAGTCTTTTTCGTAATTCTCTAGCCTCTTTCGAGCGGCTTGCTCCTGCTTGTGAAACTCTCTAGCTCCGTTCAGGCGGTTTGCTCCTTGTTTTCCACTTCTCTAGGCGTTTCCGAAGTTCTCTGGTCTCTTTATATTCGATTTTAAACCCTGCAGGAACCAAAGCCTGAGCATTTTAATTCGAATTTAAACCTTGTGGCGAGGACAACGTGAAGATTTTAATTTGGATCCAAGCTGCAGTCGGCATTTCCGGGTTAGGAATAAAACCCTTGCATTGGAAAGGGGCTCTAAATCCGAATTTAAGACCCCCCAAGACATGGGAGATTAAATTCAAATCAAATCTCCCTCCATACCGGGACAAGATTCAATGTGGAATTAAATTCGGATTATTTATGCCTTCGCCATTGTAAATGACCGCAAAGCATTAACTTCGAATCTGAGCCCTCCAGCCGGGCACCTTAACACCCCACACAAAAGGCGTAAAATCGAAATAAAATTCACATTGAATCTGAAGTTCCACCATAATCATGAGAATGACCGTCCAATCTTTTCGGTTCGTGCCTCGGTTCGCCGTCTGAAGGCCTCGAGCAGGCACCGCGGTCAAGCTTCACTAGCTCAATAGCTTTTACATGCTGTCGAGCCGCTTGCGAGCTCAATGCCTCCGACCGCATGGGCATGTCAGTGCCAGATACAGGGAGCGAGGACCTCGCAAGAGCAACACTGGCACCACTCTTAAGCGTCCCATGCATCCCAAGCACGCCCTCACCCGGGCCTGAAGCTGCTCAGAGGGGCACTTGCCTGCTTGCGCCGGCACATCGGAGGCTCGCAGCTATGCCGCGCATGCCAACTCCATGTGCATCAGACGGAGCCTCACCCAGCTGCTGTGCCGCCACCCTCGTCGAAGCCGAGTGGGAGCGATCTGACCTTCCCGGGAGGCAGCCGAGGCACTTCCCCTAGCGCTACTCGCTACTCCGTGCCTCGCGACCTTCAGATCGGAGATGGCCACCTTCGCGAATTGTCGCGTGGGCTTGTGTGGGCTTCAGCATCTTCATTGTTCACTATCAAAAACGTACCAGCTACGGCGTTCGTCGGCACAGGCCGTCTCGGAACTTACGCGGGATCAATAACCCTCCTGGCTGAAGCACGACAGGACGCAGAGGCAGTTGCAACAACAAGTCGTGTAAGGAAAAGTGG